GATAGACACTAGTGCCTTTCCTTAGCCTTAGAATCGGTACATCTGACGAAAATCTGTTGGAACAGTTTTATCCTTTATAGGTGTGTCTTAGTCCATTTGGGCTGCTTTTAAAACAGCAACGAAAAAAACCGCAGATTGGGTAGCTCATAAACCACAGAAGTTTATTTGCTCACGGTGCTGGAGGCTGAAAAGTCCAAGATTAAGGCCACCACGCTGGTCACCTTTGGTGAGGGCCTTCTTCCTGATTCATGGCCATCGACTTCCCACTGTCTTCCAGGGTTAGAAGGGGCAGGGATCCCTGCAGAGTGTCTTACAAGACACTCATCCCAGTCCTGCGGGCTCCACCATTGTTCCCTTCGCACCTCTCAAAGGCCCCTCCTGTTGCCATCGTCTTGAGGGTTAGGATTTCAGCTTGTGAATCTGGGGGGATATCCACATGCAGACCCAAGCAGTGTGCTCTATAATATCTTCCACATAAATCCTAGAATAAAGAAGCTGCCTTCTTTTTTTTTTTTTTTTAAAGATTTTATTCATTCATTTGACAGAGAGATCACAAGTAGGCAGAGAGGCAGGCAGAGAGAGGGGGAAGCAGGCTCACTGCTGAGCAGAGAGCCCGATGCGGGGCTCGATCCCAGGACCCTGAGATCGTGACCTGAGCTGAAAGCAGAGGCTTAACCCACTGAGCCACCCAGGCGCCCCAAGAAGCTGCCTTCTTAAAAGCGACCCCACTGTCCCTTAACGGCGTATTTGTAATCTTCAGACACTTTGCTTTTCTTCTCTTCACCTGTATCAAATCACATCTATCCTTTAAAGATAACCTTAGGTCTTATATGTACCTCAAAGCCTCGTCCCCTTATTTTATTTTACCCAACATTTTTCCAAATTCTTTTTATTATTTATACTACTCAGTTCATCATTCGTTTTGTGTGTGCCCACTTTCCTCTTTTCTTTCATCTTTTTCTCCTCTCTTTTCTCTCTTCCATTTAGGTCCTTTCAGATAGATACCGTAACAGCCCTTGTTGTAGGGTGATATCATAGGTATGCCGTAGATATATTTTTCCACGTTTTTAAGACTTTTTATTTAAGTTCCTGTCAATGCCATAAGTATTTTTTAACGCTGTCCACGACATCTAGACTAATAAGGTGTTTGAGCACACCTTATGAGTAGAGAATGAGTGGTTATTGGTTGCTTTACCAAGAAATTAATAGAAAATAAACTGAATTTACTGAAAGTATTGTGTATAAGAGTATGTTAGTTGCATATAAAAGGCAAGCAATACTGGAACAGCAACATCAGAATTTTCGTCATGCACATATATGTAAAAGACACCAGGAAAACAAAATTACCAGTTAAGAAACAGAACATGAATGTTATTTCAAAACTGGAAAAGCTATGTTACATTTAAGGAACTTTAAATTTTGATGATGCAGATCATAGCTAAGGATAACTGTTTAAGTATGAATACTGGTTGTAATCTTCGTAGCTGCCAGATTTCATGAGACTTAGAGAAATGCCCCCCCCCTTTTTTTTAAGTTTTAATTTTAATTTCAGTTAGTTAACACATAGGGTTACCTCAGTTTCAGATGTGCTATATAGTGGTGACTCAGCACTTCCGTACGTCCCCCGGGACTCATCCCAAGTGCATTCCTTAGTCCCCGTTCCGAGAGATATACCTGTTTCTGTTTGCTACAGTCCCAATGGGGAAGAGTCTCGGTGCATGCATCAGTTACTAAACGCAGTGTCACTAGGTCATTATTGGGCCGTGCAGTTGTTTGCATAAACTCACGACCCTTCCAGACCCTTGCAGGTTTCCTACAGGGCTTGTCCTTCCCCAGAACATCTATCGAGGAGTGTGGCCCCCCAGGTCTCAGATTTTCTGTGATAGCGTGGTTTTTCTGGGTGTGCTTAGGCTCTGTCCTTCTCCTGTAGTCTCTCCTTGTACGGCTGGAGGGGCTTGTCTGTCCAGGTTCTAGGACTCCTACTCCTGCCTTGCTGCCCTCTCATCTATGTCCCAGCATGCAGATGAATGCTGCCCTAGTTGAAGGCTGGGGCAGAATCTGCTTGTCTTCACTGCAGCCCTCCACCGGTCGCCACCCCCGGGTACCTCCCCGTACCCCAAGGGCTCCAGGGAAGGCAGGTTAGAAGTGACCGATACAGCCGGCTCCCATGTTGAGGCATAAACCTGATGTCTGCAGCTTGGTTCTGTTCTAGGGTGTCATCAGCATTGCTGAGAAACTCCTTCCTCCAGGATGCGTGTTATTAAAACCACTCCTCCACTCATATTTCCATTTCTGGAAAGCCCTAACTCCATGCATTCCATTCCGTGGGAGAGACCCTCAGAGCTGTCCTTGACTCTTCTTCCAGTCCACTTCTGATCCATTAGTGGATCCCATTGGTTTTCTGCCTTCAGAATTCACCCCACTTTGTCACCCTGGGCAGGCCTTCTTTTGGTTTCTCTCCCAGAAGCTGCAGTAGCCAGCTAGCCGCCTTCTCGCTCTCCTTCCTGCCCACAGTCTGCAGTAGCGGCTAGCTGTGTGGGTTCTGAAGGTACATTGCCTGCATTCCTACCTGCTTTACTGTCTAGACACCGAGAGCACTAATTGGCCTTTCTGGGCCTCAGTCCCTTTTTTTTTTTTTTTTTTTTTTTTAAGATTTTATTTTTTTATTTGAGAGAGAGAGACAACACGAGGGGGCTGGGTGGGTGGGCAGAGGGAGATGGGGAAGCAGGCTCCCCGCTGAGCAGGGAGCCCGATGTGGGACTCGATCCCAGGACCCTGAGATCATGACCTGAGCCAAAGGCAGACGCTTAACCGACTGAGCCACCCAGGCGCCCCCAGGACCTCAGTTTCCTTATCAGTTGAATAAAGATGGGGATGATGATACTAATTTACCTCATGTGGTTGTGCCAGATGAGTTAGTAGACACAGATTACTTAAAATAGTGTGTGGCAAACAGCATCTGAAAAATACTAGGTAGTGGGTGATACGGAGGTCATTGCACTTGTTAGTTTTTATTCATACAGAACTGAAACTGACCTTCTTAAAACATCAATCAGACATCTCTTCCGTTGGCTTCCTGTCACTTTTAGAACAGAATCCAAAGTCCTGACCATGGCTTGCTGAGCCCACCATAGTTTGCCTTTGCTCTCCTAGGCCTACTGGCCTGCTGTGGTTTTCCACTCGGCCCAGCCACTTCTGCCTTTGCTCTCCTTTTCCCTCAGCTGGCAATGCTGACCCCACAGATACTTACACGACTTGCCACTCCCTTCATTGAAGTCTGTGCTCAGATGTGAGCCCCTCACATAGGTCTTCCTTTACTGCTGTTCTAGAAATCATCCTGTTCTCCATATCCTTCAACTTTATGAAAAGATAACTACCTAACAGTATATTACACATGTTTGTTGACTGGTTATTTCAGCACACTAGGTTCCCTAATGAATGAAAGCAAGGGACTCCGTTCTGTTCATCACTGTAGTCACCGCTCCCCTCTCCTCCCACCAGGGCCTCGCAGATACACAGCTGGTGCTCAGGAGGTGTTTGCTGTGGGATGGGTAGGGTGGCTGGACGAAGGAAGATTTTCCCCCCTTGTTCTTTGCACAAGAGACACTGAGGTTACCAGATAGTTGGAGAGGCTTGAGTGAACTTTTTTGAGATGAGACCACTTTAGGAAAGAATTTGGGTTGGGTTTTTTGGTTTTTGTTTTTTTGTTTTTCCATCCTTTTCGTGGATAAGAATGTATCATGTGATTTACGATAATTGTCTTTATTAATCACAGGTGGATTAATTGCACTGTTAAGCAGGTATCTTCTTATAGTTCCTGTTCAGGGTCTTTTGCATGTGCTATACCATTAGCAGCTGGTGACAGGGAAATTGTTTGAGTTTTTCTTTTATTGAGTATTATTAAATCCACAAACCCATGTTCTTCTGCCTATTATTAACAACCTTAAGTCCCAAGAGAAAGCATGTAAGTCTTTTTAAGCTTTCAGTTTTAAAACGCTTCCTAGTCTCTTAGAGATGGAACACCGAGTTACCTATTCCCTAATCAGTTGAATATGAGTTTTACAAATTAGTATTTGCCTTTTATGTTAAATAATGTAATTAATAATGTAATATAATGTTAAATAATGTAATTTCATTACTGTTTGATAGCTTTGTACTAATTCATTGACAGTACTGATCAGTTGACTTCAATACATGAAGAAATTATATACCTGAAGAAACATGAAATAAAAGATTTCAGAATAAGTGATAACCTTGACCATCTTTGTTTTAGTTTTCTTCATAATTCCTGAGGTTTTTTTTTCTGTGTAACCATGCTTTCTGATTTCAGTCGATTATTATGTACTACAGTCCTAGAACATGTGAGTTCTGGTGCTTATCTTGGACCTTTTTTCCGTCTTCATGCTTATTAATACCCATCAATCTTCTGAACTACGTCTTGTTACAATGTGAGCAAAAAATGACTTTCTGGTTTGAAGAGGAGTTAGTTCCATGCTAATTTGTCACTTGGCCTTTTCTTTAATCACTGACATTGAATGAGTGACTGTTTGGAGTTGACCTTCAAAATTCAGAGACTGTTAGATGAGGTGTTTGGCTGTCATACAGTCATGCCGGTGTTCTGTCTGCCGTCAGCCCAGGGAGGATAGAAGTCTCCCGTGGAGCGGAACAAAAACTCACTTGATCTCGATCATCAGTATGAATAAAGATCCTGGAAGTGTGTCCTGCGATCCTTCTGGCCTCCGATTCCCTCTCATGTCGGTTTTTCCCGTCACCGTGAAGCGGACCTCACCAGGCCTTGGGTTATTTACCGGCCTACCTGTGTGTTCTTCATAAGTTTCAACATAGGCTATCTTGGCCCTTTCTTATCTACAAAATATGATCTTTATTTAGAAGAATTTAAGTGTAAGATTAGCCAAAATCAGAGATTTCTTTTATAAGGTGTTTTGCCTTTTTAGTCATAAATGTATAGACTTTTAAAATCCCCATCGTTATTATTACAGGCCATGGTTGCTTGTTATCCTGGCAATGGAACGGGTTATGTGCGTCATGTTGATAATCCAAATGGAGATGGAAGATGTGTGACGTGTATATATTATCTTAATCAAGACTGGGATGCCAAGGTATGCAACTTCATTGACCATTTATTTTTTTTTTCCCGAAGCTGTTAAGACTCATACTCTTCTTAGGGAGACTGTCTTTACTTTAACACATGGAATAGTTAAAATTTTCTTAGATTTGTTTCGGTTTTGGGTCTTAGGAGGGTATCTTTATAACTTGAAACATTATGTTATCTCAAAAAGTGGATTCCCTTTTTTTCAGATACTGAGGCATGCATACAAAATTTAACTTTTTTTGTTTGTTGCTGTTTTGTTTTGTTTTTTAAGTAAGCTCTACGCCCAGCGTGGGGCTCGAACTCATGACTCCGGGGTCAAGAGTCACACGTTCCACCAACTGAGCCAGCCAGGTGCTCCCCAGAATTTAACTGTTACCACAGTGGATTTCATTAAAATATATACCTTTTAATAGCTTTTACAAAAAACTCTGCTGAGAATAACTGTTTAATCATGGCTTCTGAGAGAGATTATGTATAAATAGCTGTTGGCGGATTATTTCCTGCTTACTCCTCTTGCACAGATGTTATCTGGCATTGGATTGCAGAGTCGAATATTGGAGGCAGGATTCCTTCTTTTTCTGACTGTGGGAAAAAACTTGAAGTTTATCAATACTGACAAATCCTTTAAAACCAATTAGAGTATCCATTTAATTTTCTCTTATTTTAAATGTTTATTTCCTTAATATTGGCCTGAGTTTCACTTGAGTTTAAATGATTGAAACTTCAGAAGTATGTCATGCTTTTATATTACTTTGGAGGTTGTCTAAACTAATGTTTGGTTGATTTTTAGAAATCCTTATTTACTTTTATTGGAGCAAGAAATTCAAATAGAAAAGTGAACACATTGTATAGCTCAGTGGATTTTCACAGCATGAACGTACCTGGGTAGCCAGGGCAAGTTTTAAAAATCAAATAACCTTTAAAACACTTCCCCCCAACACACAAACATATACACAGGAGGGAAAACCACCAAGTCTTAAATATGTAAAAACCTAGTCCTGTCCTAAAATGTAGGATATGCTCACAGGGCTCAGTAATCTTTCTGTGTCATACAGATTTAAAGATTCTCCTCAGTCCGAGTTGAAAAGGGAGGTAAGTTTTATTGCTAAGTAAATTTTGTTTTTTCCAGTCTAGTTTTCAAAGTTTAAAATAGAAACATAGATCTGGTCATTCACCTTGAGCCCAATAGACAAAACAGATTGGTGTAACTTTAGTTAAAACTTCAAAATTTGTTTTTTCCCCAATTTTGTGAATATCTTGAAAGCTAAAAATGTTTGAGCAACTCCTAACTTCTGTATTTTGTTAGGTTCTTTCTAGTTTTGATCTGACCCAGCCAAGGTCATTAATAATATAGTTTTTAAATTAGTGCCTGAGCTGAGAAAACTCCCCAGTATTTTTGTAGGTAGAACTGAAAACTTCTTTGCAAGATTACAGGAATGTGTGCAGTGTGCCAGATACCGTTCTGGGTGCTGGAGATGGAAGAGAAATACAGTAGCTTTCACAGAGCCTGGGATCTAGCAGAGGAAAGCTAGCAGTAGATGAACAGTGACCGACTGATAAGTGGTTCTGCCCAGCACAGGACAGATTGCTATGAGACCGACTGCATGAGGGGGCGGGAGGACATCTGCTTCAGGGGTCAGAGGAAGATTGGAAGCTTTAATTATCTCTTTAAACATTTGCAGCAGATCACTGTGATACTCCCCGTGCCTGCAGTCAGCGGTCAGGGGGAAGAAAAGGATGTGTTCTTGGTCACAGTCTAGAGATTCTTTAGATGTTTGCATGAGTGCCGTGGGAATCAGTCTGAACAGAACCTGAGGAAGGTTCGGGTACTTTGAATTTAACTTAAAGATGAGCCTGATGAACAGCTTGTCTGGCTAGACATTCTAGGGTCAGCGTCCATGGTGTGTAGATTAAGTATGAAAGTTCCTTTCAGTTCGAGCATCTACCTGCTTAGGAGTTAGTTCTTCAAGGGTAAAGAGCTCCTCAGTTGCAGGTGGGTTGTGCCTCACTCTCACTCCCCCCAGACTAATTATCAGGAGGATGACGTCTGTGTACATTACTCCCTACTCTGTACCCGGGGTCCCCCTCAGGTCCTAGAACACTAGGAATTAATAGGTGAGTCCATCTAATCCCAGATAGATAGGTAAATGGTAATTATCATTTCTGGATGGAATCCCATTCTGTACACAGGTGGCCATCAGTGTGTCAGGCCCAGGCTAGAAAGGGAGACCTGTAATCTCTGGTAATGACCACAGTGATGATGGTGGTGACAATAAGTGATGACACCTTCTACTGATGTAGTTGAATTCCTTATTTATTTAAAAAGATTTTTATTTATTCATGAGAGTCAGAGAGAGGGGCAGAGGGAGAAGGAGAAGCAAGCTCCCCCCGGAGCAGGGAGCCCGATGCGGGACTCAATCCCGGGATCCTGGGATCATGACCTGAGCCCAAGACAGATGCTTAACTGACTGATCCAGCCAGGTGTGCACGTGTCCCTGGTTGAATTCTTCAAATAAGAGGTATTAAACTTGTTGCTGTCTTACTACTGTTGAACCCTGAAACACAATAAACTGCTGAGTTGACATCACCACTTCAAGATAATTTGAAATGGACACATTTTAAAAGAATAGGCTAATTAAGCACATCATAAACATACCTACATAAAAGACATGTGCTAGTTTTTAAAACTTTTTTCCAGTGTCATTTTAAGCCTTTTGAATTCAGATAATACTCATCTGTTTCATCGGTATTTACAGAAATCCCTAAAACAAGAATTGAATTTTTCCTTTTATCAGTGAGTGTACTTGGAATCTCAGCTTCTCTTCATACCTTTTATTTTACGAATAATCCAGCTAAGAGTTTTAATTCTGAAATGGTCTTTTTTTCCCTCCCTAAATTTCATTTGGTAGCGTTCTTGCTCTCATACTTACATACTGGGCTCTTTTCCATAGGTAAGTGGAGGTATACTTCGAATTTTTCCAGAAGGCAAAGCCCAGTTTGCTGACATTGAACCCAAATTTGATAGACTGCTGTTTTTCTGGTCTGACCGTCGCAACCCTCACGAAGTACAACCAGCATATTCTACAAGGTGTAGTATTCCTTTTAAGAAAAAGTTGGTAAAGACTGTGGTAGGAGCGGAGGGGATGGACAGGATGTACTTGAGAGTTTTCTAGTGAGCATCTTCTGTTCTTTATTCAGTCGTGACTTTTTAAAATTGAATAATTTTATTTACTACTTATTCTCGGTTAGTGCTTAATGTTTGTGACTTTCTTTGTGTAACCACTTCCATTTGGGGTAAGAAATTGAAGTACAGGCCCTCTCCTCTCTCTATCCTGTCTCATTATTTTGTGCATCTCTACCTATAATCTGTTCTGATTCTGTGAGAGGACTTACTTGGGGGACAGAAAGGCTCGATAGAGAAAGAAAAGGACAGCTTTTCAAAGGGAGGAAAATGAGAGGGAAGATGTTGAAAAATTAAACAAAGCAGAAAAATAAGAGGCACCTGGAGAGTAGAAATGAAGAGAGGAGAAGAAAGGTTGCCATGTGTGGGAGTTCATGTGAGAAAAATAACCCAGTAGCTTTAATAATAAGTATCTATGAGCCTTATTATACTTTTGACACTTTCTACTTTGAAATGTTAAGACTCTTAAAATAGAAGATGTTGTAGACATTGTTACAAATATTTGTAGAAAAATTGCACTATTTTGCAAATACCTGTTTTTCACTGTAGAAGGGACTCTGAATCTTGTGAGTTACTGGCCAGCAGTGGTTGGGTCTGGTGAGAAGGGGCCGAGCTGTAGTCACACCGGGAGAAGAGCTGGCTTTTCCCGGCGGTATCAGGCATGGGCCAGCCTAATGAGGTTCCAATTCCAAAACTTGATCACCTTTTTTTCTTGCTGCTTCCTTTCCCTTTCCCTTCCCTTTCCTTCTCTTTTGTTTCCTTTCCTTTTCTCTCCTTTTCTTTCTTTTCTCTTTCCCTTCCTTCCACCCAACATGGGGCTCAAACTCATGACCCCCAAGATGAAGGGTCGCACACTCCACCAGCTGAGCCAGCCAGGCACTCCTTTTTAACTTGCCTCCTTCTGAGCTGTGTTGCCCTAACCCTAATTCACATAGTGAGCAGCAAGCTGAGTAATTTGTGGCTGGAGATCCTAAGAAGCCATGAATGGAAACCATCCTGTCCCATCACACGATGTGCTGTCCTAAATCCCCCATCTCTCCTGGCTTCCCAGTGCCCATCTCTGCCTGTGCTGCTGCTTCAACCCTTTTGACCAAGAAGCTGCTCCAGGAACCTTCCCTTTTAAGGAGTCTTGAGTATGGTCTGCCTGTATCATTTCTAAATGAAGAAATGACAAACATTTTTAAGTAGTAAATGTCAGACAGTTGTGGAGGGTACATACTACAGAACTCAAGGAGGGAGAAAATGGTGTTAATCGGAATAGATGGCGTAGATGGCCCAGGTGTCATCGTGAAGACGGGAGCTCAGCGGGGCCCAGAATGACCAGAAGCAAGGAGTATGGCAGTTAGGGAAGCCCTGGGACAAAGGTCAAGGTTGTTCAAGACTCTAATTACTAAGTAACTGGAAGTTTGGGGCATGGGCAAAAAGAGAGAAAATTATCTGTCTGTGCCCTTTTCCCTTCCCAAGGCCACCTGGGAAGATAGAGGAGGCTACGTGGAGGGAGCAGAATCTGGAAGTCAGGACGCCAGACTCGGACCTCAGCCTGGTCACTCAGCAGCTGAGTGATCTGCCTTTCCCCGTTGGCCCAGACTCCCAGACTCTGCCTCCAGTCTGCATTTGACTCTTTCCTTCAGATACGTTACCTGGTGCAGGTCTGTCACACGCACGGGCTCTTCATTCGGTCACTGATGCCCCCCCCGGGTCCCCGCCCAGCCCTAGTTAAGATGCTGTGACTGTTGTGTTCTGCTGAGCAGTCCCCACGTGTAGTGCGTTTCTGCTTCCTACAGTGTGTGAACACTTTCCCCATTATTGGGACCAGGAGGTGTCACAGTGTGCTTTGTAGCATTTAATAAACCAGAGATTCTTCCTCTATTTGGGGAACTAGCTATTCCAAACAAGTGAAATTTTCGGAGGAATTAATTTTAGCTAAATAAACTTCACATGTCAAAACACAGTGTAAAATTATTTTGATAAAAATCCCCAAAACTCTTAGCATAATTTACCTCTATCTTGATGACACCAGATTATAAAATTATAAACACCCACTGTTAGTCTTCGCTGTCCTACTGTGGTGTCCTCAGAAGCTGCTGGAACTGGGAGCCGTCCCTTCTGCCACAGGGCCCCAGGCCGTGGCTCCTCTTCTGCTTCTCTTCTCTTTTTTGAGAACTTTCGCTAGTGATGCTGTGCTTTTCCTGTCGGGGCCATTCTTTGCCCTTCTTACTGTCTGTTTCTGATCTGCCGTGGACCCGCAACAATAATCAAGTAGGTTAAGCCGGTAGTAAGAAGAGCCCCCAAAACTCGACTTCGCAACATCTGTTTTAGCTACTTCTGGTTCTCCGCTGCGCTCTTGAACGGCGAGGTTCCTGGAGAGGTGGGTCGCCGCTGAGCTCGGTGTTCCTCTGATAACATTCGGTCGAGGCATTGTTTTGGCGTTACACGTTGTCATAGACCATTGCAAGAGCATACCACTCTTTTTTTCCCCCAGTGTGATCGTTCTTACCCTATTCTAAATTTTCTTTTAGGTACGCAATAACTGTTTGGTATTTTGATGCAGATGAGAGAGCACGAGCTAAAGTAAAATATCTAACAGGTAAACGTTATTTGGGGCCAGGGTCAACCGTAAGGCGGGCAGCCCACAGTCCCGCGCTGCTGTCCCTGAGTGCACGCACGGTCTTTATTAACTCCACGAAGGCTTGCCCCTTATTTTTGTCAGATTCCTTAGTTCCCTGATGTAAAAGGGAGACTTCTCTCAAGTCATCTTCCTTGTTCTCTTTAACCAACACTGTCCGAAGATGAGGAAAGTTTGAGGCCAGAAACCTGAGAAAATGATTCAAGTACAAGCTGAGTTTTTCTGTGATTACCCTTCCCAGTCACCGGCTGCCCAGCTCGTGGTAATGCCATCTGACTTCTCTCACTCTCCCGTTAGAAGGAAGTCAGTAAATACCCTTTCCCTGTTAAACGTACACTCTCTAGAGAATATCCGGGTCTTCCACGTTGAATGTGGACGTGAAGAAAGTGAATACAAAGGAGACGAATTGAAATGCCGAAATCATAAGGTAGCCAAGCACGTCGAGGCCATCCCTGCCAGCGGTGGTGTCCGTAGATCAACACGCTCGAACCGAATCTGAAGATCCTTCAGGATGCCAGCCCCATCCCCCCAACCCCCACCACCAACTGTCTCCTGAGAGCAGGGGGTCTTAGTTTTCCATCAGATGGAGCACTTCCCTCTTTTCTTCAACCCTATCTTATATCTCCAAAAGTCTGCTCCGTCCTCACATTACTGATGTGCTGTATTTTCATGAGCCATTGATAATCCCACATCATCCTTTTGTAAAATTATAAAATTGGATGTGCATTGCTTTTTCTATGTATTTTTAAAGTTATTATTTGTGGCAGAACCCTAGTGGTGTGCTTTCAGTGACGCTGAACACACTGCTATTTTATAGCAATTCAAATTGCTTTTTAAGTAAAAAGGAGATAAAATTATTATCTCTGTAGAGAATGGCTTTCCCCCGTGAGGGTTTACCAGTTCAGAGTAACGCGTTCATTATAACAATGCTGCAAGGTAGTAAGTCTGATAGTTTTCAGATGATGTATGTTTGCAAAGCTGTGGCGTTGTGCGCACTGGTAGGAGCTCAGTGGGAAGCAGCAACAGAAAAACAGAAGCTCTCTGGTGCTGAATGAATGAAGGAATGAAGGAATGAATGAATGACTTTTTTTTTTTTTTAACCTCGCAGGTGAAAAAGGTGTGAGGGTTGAACTCAATAAGCCTTCTGATTCCATCAGTAAAGACGTCTTATAGAGCCTTCAGTCCAGCAAACCCCACTCCACCTACAAGAATTGTTGACGCTCTTCGTTAACTTGTGAATACGAATAAATGGGATAAAGAAAAATAGACAACCAGTTGGCATTTTAATAAGGAAACAGAAACAACTTGGTCGTGTTGCCTCAGAAAGAAGACTGTGACTGTGACTCTGTACTGCATGACTTTCCAAACCTGTGATTGCTCATGGGAAGGATACAAGCTACCGGCTGAAAATGGGGGTGACATCTGGACGTGAAATAAGTGCCCTAGGTAGAAGTTTTTCATTCTTATATTTTGCCAGATCTGTCATTTAGATGAGTTCATTTCATCTCTCCCTTTTTTATATAGTCGTTTGAATTTGAAGTAATTTTTGTATGATCAGGTACAATACATCAAAACTGAATTGAGAAAAAAGTACAGTATTACTCCCCCAAATAGCATCGATCTATTTTTGTAAACTTGTTCGAACTATTAAATTTTGCCCTAAAAAAGACCTCTTATCATGATTGTTGCCAGTGACTGATGATTCCTTTCCTTTCCTTTTTACTTACCGTAAGAAAAGGAGCACTTTAATCGCCAACTGAAAACTCAGATTGTTTTGTAGTCCTGTCTTTTACACTAATTTGAGCTCTTAAAAGATTGCTGCTGTTGTGTTTTTGACATTGTTCGTAACGAAACGTTAACAGTAAAACCATCACTGTTTACTACCAATAACTTTCAGTTCATGTTTTATACGGAAAAATACCCAGGTTTTATTCTTTTAAGTTAGTATTTTTAAAAGACTAAAGTGACTGGCACTAAATGAACTTGAGTTTGTCCTCAGCATCAAGTTCCCAAGACAAAGGGCTCTCTCATGCTTTTCAGGTCTATCCTATAGATGTAATAGGTGACGTCCCCTTCCTAAGACTTTTCCTTTTGCTTCCCGTCAAGTTGATCGGACTTCCCGTTTTGCTGTTAACGTTTTCTTCCCACTCCTGCGACGCACGTGATCTGCGGTGGAGAACCCGGCTTCTGTTGGCTAGCATCAGCGGGGACGGAGCACGAGGGCTGGGCGGTGTTAGCGCAGACCAGATGTTAGTGAATCCTCTGCCCCGAGCCAGGGCAGGCCTTCCCCAGGCATGACGTGATTTTCGCCTCTTTGTCAGTAGCTGGATGTTTAGCTTAAAAATACAAAAGAAGTGGAAAACCAGGTAATTTTATTATTCTGTTTTGTGACTTTTCTTTACTTTTCAGAAAAAAAAAGGGACTATTACAATAACACACAAGGCCTCCCAGACTTCTGTTTTTTGATGGATGAACTGGGATGGACATCCAAGACTTCGTTTTCCTGGGCCAGTCTTTAGCAGAGGCCAAAGGGTGGGATCCATATTTAACATGAATTATGGGTCAGACCTTGCCCACTTCAGTTTTCTATGTCTACCCTTGATCTTTGCCAAAATGTGTGCACAGAAATACTTTGTATATTTCAACTCATGACAGTTTTAGCATCTGTATAGTTTGTATTCAATTAGAGACCTTTTCTATGGAAAGCTCAGTAATTTTTATTAAAAGATTGCTGTTGTTCATGTAAAACATGAAAAAAGGTTGTTTAGTGAAACTGACAGTATAGACTTAGGGTGGGATGAAAGGTTTCAGTATTGTGAACTCACTTAGGAACATGCGGGAGAAAATGAGTTTATTGTTGTTTTTCCTTGCCCTTGTTCGGTTTTGTTCCCCTTCCTCTCTGTGTTCCAGATAATGCCATGTGACATCTCTGTAGTAAGTGCCTCTGCCGGCCGGACCTGGGAGTGCGGGTTGTCTCTGCCATCTGGTCTGCGGCGCGCTGCGCTAGGCCGCCACTTGGAAGCGCTGTCGTTTTTAGGTCTAGTAGAGATTGTGTTCTGTTGAGGGGATTCATGTGGTCATCAGGGTGGTCCTGCAGCAGCCTTGCTTCTGGGAGCCCCAGGGTCATTCGCGTGTGTATGTCTGCAGTTGTGCAAAGTGTCAGATTCTACTCTCTGTGCGTGTGCTTTCCAGACAGGTCTTAAAATCGGTATTTTTCAGAAAATTGTATCTAATTTCTTGGAGATCATTGTGAAAGGATCAAGAAATCCGGTGTAGCCATTTCTTTAGTATCCACTTAAAATCTGTTCATTTCATGTTAGTGGGACCTTAACTTGTCACCAAGCAGGACTCTATTTAAAACTACTTGTGGCCTCTATGTGTTTAATCCTGGTTAAAGATGAAGCCTCTAATGCTGTTTTTCAACACATTAACCAGCTGTAAAACACAGACCTTTATCAACAGCAGGCAAGGAATTTCAGGATTCATACACAGATAGATGGTGAAGTCATGTAATTTGAAAAGTGGTGTTTCGTTATGAAGGAGCTCTCAAGTTGCTTGTAAAGCTAATCTAATTAAAAAGATGTGTAAATGATCTTGAAAAACTATGGTGGTTATTTCCAGCTGTCTTTTTTTTTTTTTAAATCCTTTCTCATACATTGACTTTCTTAATGGGCCCTTCCATCAGATAAGGTCCTTTTCTGTCACACATCTCTGGCATAGTCCAGAATGTTTGGTATTGCTTTTTATAAATGATAACAAGGGAAAGAGAGAGAACAGTAAACACAGGAGTCTTAACAATTCTAGAAACATCCTGGGGGTAATTGGCCTGTCCACGGGATCCATGAGTTCTTTGTTTGAATTCTCAACATTTGGATTCTTGCCCTTTGAATAGGATTTTTAAGATTTTTTTTTTTTTTTTTTTTTTTTTGGGTCAGAGAGAGAGGGAGAGAGAGCAAGCACAGGCAGACAGAATGGCAGGCCTAGGCAGAGAGAGAGAAGCAGGCTCCCCACTGAACAAGGAGCCCGATGCGGGACTCGATCCCAGGATGCCGGGATCACGACCTGAGCCGAAGGCAGCCACTTAACCAACTGAGCCACCCAGGCGTCCCTGAATAGGATTTTTAAAAATTACTCCAACACCAGTGCTGTTGGGTACATCTGTGTCACCCCTCTGCAGCAAACAGGAAGGGGCATTAGGCATAGATCTGCAGTTTCATAGGTGTCCTGTGTGTGTATGCATGGAAATTTAATTCATGTAGTCATGGTTAGAGCCTAAAATGTAAGAGCTCTTACAGTGTGAGATCAGTGTCCTTGTTCATTGATCTCTTAGCTAAAGGACGTTTGGTGTGGTGGTTTTGTTGTGTTCTAGCCTGTCATGGGGCATGTGGGAAAAGGTACTGAAATATAGTGGGGTGGATTAAAGATGAGGGCAAATGAGTCAGAGATGAAGACTAATTTAATTAGGTAGTGTTGTAAAGAGAGTACAGGACTGACAAATCGGTTTAGCTCTGGTCCAGGCACTTAATTAGGTGACCGTTGGAGCCAGACCTAAATGAAGTCCAGATTACTTCTGAGGTGCGCGTGGCCCAAGCATGAGGGCTCTGCGGTGGCCAGAGGCCACCATGGTAAATATGTATACCGTATGTTTAACCATGGCCTTGTGTGCAGGTGGTTTTTAATTCACTTACACTCACGAGGAAATGCCCAGACTCCACTGCTTCAGGATCAGTCTTTGGACATCCAAGGTCAGGAATCCGTACCCCCCCCCATGCTTCTGATGATTTTAATGCAGATTCTTTTCCTCATCGCCAGCGAGTAAATTTCACCTGAAATTTGGCAAGCGCCCAAGGGATGAACCACTGGACAAATGACCCGTATGAAGGGCTGGGCCTCGGGAGCTGGAAGGAGTTTTGTGAGGAGAAAACACTTCAAGACAAACCACTTCACAAGACAAGCAGAGCCTTCCCAGCTGCTGGCAGCCAAAGCTCCTTTTATCAAATGGATGATTTTTCGACTCTGAAACAAGGGGCCAGGGGTCATAAAGATCATCAGGGCATTTTTGGATCAGGTCATCTTTTTACTGAGATTAAGACATTTTCTGCCAAAATTAATGACTATTATGAGTTCTGTGAAATCGCTCCACAGTTTTTCCTCAGAACCCACGGAGTAGGCGAACGTCATCTCCGTTGACAGTTAGAGCAGCTGAGAGCAGTGACTCGTCCAGGACCGTGTAGCCAGGAAGTGGAAGAGAGCCAGGACTTGAGCGTGGACGTCCTTTTCTTGTTTTTTTTTTTTTTTAAAGTCAAAGTTCTACTGTATATGTAGCTAAGTCAGCTTGTTCTCGAAGGGTTTTTAAGGAGATGAGCCCCTCATGTGCTTCCCCTGAGGACAAATTTTAACTCTTAAGTGATTCTTTGGATGTAATTAGTTGCCTGATTAGTTCTTAGTGACATAATCATGTTGCCACGTGTTGGATTTCCAGGGTGAGGGCTTATCTGCTAACCGGTTCCCTACTTGAAAGGTACGACTGCAGGTCCCTATCCAGCCCCCCAGGCCAGCCCCCCGCCGACGCACGGACAGCACACTTCACACCCCCCGCCTTCCTCATATAATTCTGCTGTAACTTAGCTCAGGTTGATCGTTCAGACTGTTGGTGACACTCAGAGCTGGGACGCAGAGTAAATCATGGTGACTTTACATCCACAATTTGCTTGTATCCTCCTGCCTGATTTTCCTACTTTTCCTGCGGCTTATTGCCTGCAGTTGTCTGGAGCCGTTGTCCCCTCTGCCTGCTACACAGCCGTCTTCCTGAGGTCTCCTTTCCCCATTGTTCTGGAGACCCCCTCCACCACTCTGCTGGGTCTCTGGTTTCCTGGATCCCTTATCTTCCCCTTCCTTGGTCGACTTCCTCAGTCCGGGAGGGGGAGCGTGTCCTTCACATGTCTTCCTGAGAAAGAGTAGGTGGGTGGTAAATTTTTCAAGACCCGTGTCTTTGTTTTACCCTCACACTTCATTGGTAACTTGCCCAAGCT